CTTGGGAAAGAGGCACGTACAAACAAGTTTTCTGGAGATGTCAGTCGTTCTATCGGTTGATACGGCAATCAACCTAGCTGATTTCACACGTTATGCCAGCCACGCACCACTAATCCCGACCTGGCCTTTAAATGGTAGTATTCCCTCCAACAAATGCAATGTTGGTTTGGTGGGCGGAAGTTGTAGCTCTCAGCAAGAATTTTGAAGCATTTGGTACACACATGCGAATTTGCACACTGGACCCAGGAATTTTCAAAAAAAGTATAAAAATTGGGGGAAAGTTAAATTGTGAACCAACAATAGAAAACAATAAGCAACATATTTCGCAGTATTAATGAGCAAAAAGGACTTTCTGAGATATTGATTTTCCATAGTAATCGGCCCCAAAACTTCCTGAACTCAGAAAAGCGACACTAAGATATCCGGTACCTAATACATATATTAGCGTATTATCCGCCTCTAAGCTATCCAACGAAATCTTTCAGCAATTTATGGAGTCGGTTGACTGTGATAAAAATACAGCTTATGGGAAGGAGCAGTCTTTTTTGAAGCCCGTTCTTCCGCATATTACCGCTGTTCACTTTTGAGGAGTATTTCGGAAGCTGAACATGGATCCAAACCCAATGAAACAGACAGGGAGCGAGGGCTCTTGCAACCGAACAAACTACCAGCTCATGAAAGATGAAGGGTTTGATGATCAAGTCGAAGTTGATGTGATACCTGCTGAAAAGGCTCCTTCTAACGTTTATTTTGGGGGATGCGTCAACATTGGTGATGATATAAAACAAGGACAGCGAAGGAAAAGCTGAGAACATAAGAGGCCGCGATGCGGGCAGCTCCCCAACCTCCGAAGGGCAGTCTCTCCGAAATTCCTTATGTCAGGCAATATCATAAGACCTCTACACCTTTGATCTGGTAAGCGAGACTTAGCTGGATACTAGCTCTCATAAACAGTGTATGAGTGAAAGTAGAAAGTGCGGAACATCTTCCATCTTCCAGGGGAATCGATCAAGACAGAGTACTAGATTTTCCATCCTAAAAGACTCCACCGTCAAGAATTCAGCAACCATAGACGTAAGAAAGAGGGTGTGGAAGGCTTGATTGACTTCAGTTGCCCCTGACTGCAACACTTTCTCAACCACAGCGCTACTTCTACTATAAATGATGACAAGATTTGATGAGTAAGTTCCACCGCCTTGTCAAGTAAACTTACAGTGTGATTCGTATCCTACTGGGTATTAAAATTCTTAATTCTTTCCAGAGGATATGAATAGCCCAGTGAGATTAGGAGGCAATGTTGTTTCGTTTGTTTCGAATAGCCAAGAGAAACATACCAGGAAGAACTTAGCGTGGCTCGAACTGGTGATCCACAGCTTTGACCCATTGATAACATAATCACCGCCGTCCGCCTTGGCGACAGTCTTCATGGCGAAGGCATCGGATCCTGAGCTGGATTCGGAAAGGCAGAACGAACCGATCTAAAGAGAGTAAGAGAGACACTTGAGGATCACTGCAGCCTTAAAGGAACTATTCATTGCAGAAATATATCAGTCAATACCATATCCACTTACCCATTCTGTGCACCCTTTCGGAAGATATTTTTGCTTTTGTTCTTCTGTTCCTAGTTCCAGTATCAGCGGTAAAATGAGTGTATTTTGTAGGTCAACAAAGGCGGACACTGCGGGATCAATCTGAAAGCATCAGAAATGGAAAGGAGTCTGCGTTCATGATAACCGTAGGAGTATCATAGTTAATACCTCAGATAAGAGTGGAGGCAGTGCAGTGGTCAAAAGTGGCTTATTCAAAACACTGATGAGTTAGCTTCAGCAGCCGCTATGCAGCTTAAGGCCAGGTATGCTTCGAATGGTCATAACACGGAAAGATACCGCGAGAAATTGGACGACATTTTGAATGATCAGAGGCAATTTCATTCTAGGAACATTGCGTAGATTGAAAGAGATCATCGTGAAGGCAGAAACCCTCTAGGCGGGTCACCTAGGTCCTGTCATGCTCATA